CATCTTTATTTTACCTCATATTCAAACAATGCTTTATAAAATTTTATATTTTTAATAAAAATAGATCATATAAAAAAAATTAATGTACAAACGTATGATTTTAATTTTGTGTAAAAGATAAGTTATTTTTTAAATTAAAAAAATATAATAAAAATATTGATAACTAATTTTTAAAATTTAAATAAATAGTTTTTAAAAAAATTAGTTTGAAAAATTACAAGGCTCTTCTTTTTTTTTATTTACCAAACAGTTATATAAACTTTTCAATTAATCTATAAACTATTTTTAACAAATATAAATTTATTATTCTTAACTTTTATACCAGATCGCCAATTAATAGGTGAAGAAGGAAGATGAAAAATAAGAGAATAGTTATATATAAAACAGGGATGTATAATTTGTAAAAAAAATTAAATTAGTCTTGGATGAAAGTTTTCAAATGTAAAAAAAAATAAAAATAAATGAAAAAGTATATTATTTCGTAAACATGCTAAGAGACGTTGAATTCTTATTCCCAGAAGTATTTTTTTTAATAACATTATGATTAAAGTTATATTTCTAGGTTTTATCATATTCAAAATGTAATATTAAATTTTAAAAATATTAATTATAAACGAAAACATTCTTAAAATAAATAATAAATAAAATGTGGCCTTTCGACTTTCGCTGTCACTAGGTAAAAGGGCTGTCCCACTGTAGATTTCTTCTTTCGTGTATTTGTCATTGGCAAAGTAAAACGATCTGATCCACTTCACGTCTATGGTGCTGATCTCGTTAGTTTATCTTTGGGGGAATGAGTGCAATGCCAAAATATAAGGTTTGGTAAGAACAGTCAGAAAAACAGATGCAGTTAAGAATGAGAGCGTGCTTCTTCAAATGATTAAATACTAAAAAACTATTTTATTAATTAATTATATAAATAACTTTTGGATTTATATAAATTACCTGAAAACTAAAGTTGTTATAATTTTGTTAAAATTTTAAGTTGGATAACATAAAAGTGTTAAAAAAGCTGAAGAAAGAAAGAAATTTCTGACAAACAATAAAAAGAAGAAAATTTTCATCTTCAAATTATCTATTTTGTTTCCTTTCACTCTTTCCCCATGTTTTTAGTGTTAATGTAATTCCTTTGATACTTAAAAAGACAATTCCTCTTGCATATTTTTCGTTCCTAATTAATAATTATTGTCTCTCCATTGAATGCAAAAGGTACCAAGAGCATAGTCCAAGCTCACCTTATATATTCCTTGTAATCATCGCAAATAAACGGGACCACAAGAGAAATAGACTCTTCCTTATAGAGCAAAAAAGGTATTTAGCATGGTTCAGCACACAGGCATTTGGATTTTGTAGGTGTGGTGTGTTACTTGATTGGATTTGAGGACTGATTTCATTGCAGGTGATTGCAGTTTTGTGATTTTAGTTAATGTTTGAGACTCAGAACTGAATGGGTGTACATAGTTCAACTTAATGCTTATGATTTTTTCAAGTTGATGCTCATTTTTGGTAGCATGATACAGTTACAGATCCAATACTAGGGATAAAGATTTGAAGCAAACTGCCATAGACTTGTAATGTTTATACAGCACTTGCTAGTGCACTGTTTTTTTTCCAAGGAAATGTTAATTGATTAGTGTCCTATTAATATATATATATATATATATATATATATATATATATATATATACTTTTTAAAAATGATATCATCACACTTTTTGTTGTGATTTTTAATATATTTTTCTTAACCAAAAAGATTAGTTAGTAAAATTATTTATTTTATTTGTTTTTTCATATTTGTATCAAATGTGATTATCACTCCTCATTTCTTTCTTCTCTTTTTGACTTTTTATAAAATACCACTCTTCGACTTCGTGTGATAAAAATTAATCTCAACATAATTTTTTTAATCTAAGTACAATCATGTGCTTCGGAAGCCATTGGTCAACGAAATTTTATCTCATTAAAAATGAAATTAATCTCAATAAAATCCAAGATTTAAAATGAAAATGGGAATCAGAAATCAAATTCTCTCTCCCCTGATTCTCACACAAAAGACCAACCCATTAGAAAATAATGAACAAGAATATTGTGTACTTGAAAAGATTAACTTGAGTTGAGATTCATTCTTGAAGAATGTTGTGTACTTAAAAGACTAACTTGATTTCAGATTCATTCTTGAAGATTAACACAGAGAGATTAAAAAAACACGAACTTAGAACTAAAATGTGTTTGAGTCTAACAAATTCAGAAGGAAAGAAAAAATCGACAAAGGCATTTTCTCACAAAGGAGAGAAATAATGCTACCATAGCTAGTTTTCATTCCTTAAAAAAAACACTAGTTAGGATTTTTTTAGGACCATAGTTGTAAATCTTATGTTAATTTCAAATTACAAAATTAATTATTAATGTCATGAAATTAAATAATTTGTTTTTTTTAGGCTTTATTTAGAAGTTTAACGTGAGAGAAAAAAATATTTTAAAGATAAGAAAAAAGAGGAGAAGGGAAACAAAGATTGTAAGTTAATAAAAAATCTATAAAATTAAAAAAATTTAAAAACATAAAATTAATATTTTAAAAAAAAGTTTATAAAATCTTACACTTTTATTTACAAACTCTCAAATTAAAATTATCTTTATATAAATTTTTATAACAAACTAACTATCAAACATATTCTTAAAGTTGAAGAAGACAATTAATTTATGATTAAAAGCTTGAAAAGAATTTATAGTAGGAAAAGCTAACTTTGTTTATATGGCACACAACTCTTGGCTTAACTGGATAGCACTCGTGTCTTTGGACAAATTAACTAATAACCTCTATACATTAATCTATAGCTCAAGACAACTGAATAAAATCACATAAGGATATAAAGATTTATGAGAAATATGAACCAATCAATAAAAAATTTATTAGGAAGAATAATTTATTTGTCATTATCCAGGATACCCAAGAACTACTACATGAGTGAAAAACTTTTCCTTGCTTTTCTCCCTCTGACTTATATTCGAACCTCCCCTCACCAAGAACTAAAAGCTAGAGACCAATGCTCTAGGGCCTAGCTCCATATCCTCTTCAAAGTGTTATGAAAATCTCAAACTCAACTCCATCAAAGTGCTACAATACCTGGGACCACATCGATCACGCATAAGCACCCAGCATCACTATTTTGCGTCACGGTGGGTAGCTTTTATTGGACGAATCACCACCGTCAATCCAATGGCGTCCAACTCGAAAGTCCTAAACCTTGGAATGCTATTCCTCCATCTTTAATTATGCATGATAATGAAGTAACCTTGGTGAAGTTACAAGAATATTCTTTCAGCTTTGTTTTAAAGTGTGTTTAGATAAGCATAATCATGTTATCAATTTGACTATAAAGATTATTAAAATAAAAATTACTTTAAAACACTTTATCTGAACATTTATTAAAATATTTTTAAAAAATTATGAGTCAGGAAATGTTTTTAATAAATTTAAATAAACTCATTAAAGCTCGTCCAAATGTTTCAACTCTTTTTATTGTTCAAGAATATCAAATTTTGGGAGTGGGTTAATTATATCATCCTGTGTTCTAGATGGTGATGAAAGCTAGCATGATTTGCTTAAATTTGAAATTTTAAATGTTGTATGTTTAGCTAGAGGAGAAAAATGCACTGTATTTCGTTCATTAATAAAAAATTATAAGGTTTGTATCTCAACTACCGAATTCCAGTTTACTTATCATTTGATTTGGTCTCTAGTGTTTGTATGTTTACAATGATGGACGAAGCACTTAAATTATAAATGTATAAATAATCTAATTAATTTTAAAAACAATCCACTTTGTTATAGAGTGCCAAATAAAACTTCATACAATTTGAACTTGGCAGGGTGTAGATAGTTAAGTTTAATGGATATCCTTTCCTTCATGTCAACTGTTAAGATTGAATAATCAACATAATCAATTCGATAACTTTCCCGTTGCTTTCACTACTTGATTAATTCGTCTCGACGCGTACTGTGTGTACAGCTTAATTAAGGAAAATTATTTCTTTAATTTTATTTGGTGACCTACTTTATTTAAATTTTTCGCTTCTTATAATAAATTACTGAAAGATTGTATAATTTTGCCTTATGTTTTTCATTTTTTTAAAGTACGTGCAGGTTTCGTCTGCAAAGTTTTTTTATATAGATTGAAAAAACTAATAAATTTTAGACAAAATAATACCTTTCCATAATAATTTTTCAATATATACACTCGCATATATAAGAATGATATGACTATGGGATAAAGAAAAGTAAATATTTATTTACTTTGATAAAATATTTTTGTTCTTATTTACTACTTAATAATAATGACAAAATAATACTTTTTTTACTATATTTCATATATTTAAATATTTATATAAAATGGAAACAAATTAATATTGTTTCTATCATTGCTTGCAACTTTAAAATAGATTAAAGTTTACTAGGATGATTTTTTTTAGAATTATGCATAAAAATAAAAACATTTTCCTAAAACAGAAATCCTAGTTTTCTTTTTCTTTTCCGTGAACTAAATATTAAGTATGGATATCCAATATCCCACTAGTGGACAAGTTCAATACTTCTCAAATCTGTATCTATCACAAAGTCGTACCAAGGAAGCAATCTTTAAAACAAATATACTCCATAGGTACTGATCGAAAACATATAGTTCACGCCATTCAAATATCAATCATAATAAAATCAAGAAGATGATCTACATGATAACCTTGCATTCTTGTTCATAGTCTGCCCATAAATATCTTACATATAGTTAAATTACAAGAAATTAGAAAAATCTCTTTGAATTGATCGTTCTATTTTTGAAGTATATATATAATCACATGCATTAGAAGAAGCATGTGGTGATGATCGACCTCTACACTAACAGACTATTTTAATTACATGCCAACAAAATAAATATATAGAATTACTACAAATTATCATCAACGAAAAATGATAAAGGTTTCGCCGAAAAAACTAAAGAGCCTCCCTAGCATGCTGCAGATGATGAGTGGGGGAATGCATAGTTGCTTTTGTAAAAGTGATGATGGGTCTTTGAGCCAATAAGCAATGTTGTTGTGGGAGAGGAACCATTGCCACTGTCACTGTTGCCACCGCAAATTCTCTCACAGGAAGGGCATATGGAAAGTGTGGCTGCTGGAATCTGCATGTAAAAGGGTAAAGGGGTTGTTTGCATTGACTTAAGTTCTTGCAACTCTTTTTGCAGCCTCTTATTCTCTTCTGTCAAAGTATCGCAACAGTTCTTCAATAATTCACAATCCGACTCGGTTTGTTTAAGTTTTGTCCTGTACATGTAATTAAGTCAAAATAGCAAAAAAATAAATAAAAATCCAACTTATCCTATTAATTTAATATGATAAAAATATTTAATTTTTTAATACTTTTTTACTTTTATATTTTAACCATTTCCTCAAACATATTGGTTAACAGTTCTTTTTAATTAGTAAGAAGCACATGTAGGAAAAAAGTAAATAAAATTTATATTATCATAGTACAATAATAGTTTTTCTTTTTGGTTATATAAAAAAAAAAAAATTATTGTATAAATATAATTTCTCTAGTTGTTTTAATTAGTATGTGGGAGGAATAATTGAGGTAAAGTAGGGTACTATTAAATTACCTGGCTCGCCTGTTTTGAAACCACACTTCGACTTGTCTCGCTCGCAGGTTCAGCTTCATTGCCAATTCTTGCTTTTGCTTCTAAGGAAAAATGGCAAAGAAATTAAAAATTGTGTTAAGAAAAACTTCCACCACAGAAGAATCATTTGTAAACATAAAGATCGAGACCAAGTAATCGATGATTGAAGAAAAGAGATTAATTAAATCATGATTTATTCAATCATATATATATATACTAGAAATTAAATAAGGTACCGGATTGAGGGTAGAATGCTCCTTGAAGTTTTCCTCCAACACTGCGGATTGTTCTTTGGTGAGCCTAAGTTTCTTCCTGGGGTTACCATCTTCATCAACATCACCAACTACCCTTGTTGGAATTTTCTCTACCTCTACTTCAAATTCCTCACCTAAAGCTTGATCTCGTTCCCTCTTGATGCTAGAAGAGTTGGAAAATGAAGATACTGCGCTAGGAGAAGAATCTTGAGGAGGAAAATATTCATAGGATTCAGTATTTGTATTTTGTTGATTATGCAGTTCATCATCCTCAGGTGGTCCTAATGTAAGAGAAGGGTATGCGTTGTTACATTTAGATGGTTTATCCACCTTTTTCTTATGACTTTCTCTCTGTTTGTGATCATCAACCTTCGTGCAATTCTCTGACTGATCATGGAAACCAAGACCAAGACCAAGACCAAGACCGAGACCAAGTGGAAGCCCTGTGGTAGATGTATCATGAAAACCCATGATATAAATTTTGAGAAACTTAGTGAAAAATATTGGAGTTTGCAGCTAGCTTGCAATGTTCTGAATAAATATATTATATATACATACATATGATTAAAAAAGAGATATGAGTTAGGAAATGACAGGAATGGAGAGAAGAAGGTTATAGGAGGGTGTGATCGTGTGAATGGAAAAGGATTTATGATTGAGTTTTGGGGGGGAGGGGGGTAATTGTGCCTTTGCGGGGAATTACTTATTTGTTTATCAGACAAGAAATGAAAGAATTAATATATGCATTGAGGAATAGAATATAATGATTATTATTGAAAGTATGAAAATTTCACTTCTCCTTTTGGCTCATAAGTTGACCATGAGAAAGTTAATGACTCCTCCTCCTTCTTTTCAAGCAGGACATGTTCTGCAAAATAACAAGCAATTGTATCATCATCAAGTGTATATGGTATATGCTATACGTGGAATCACGTGGAAAGTGGGTAGGACAATAAAGAGCATATGTGATCGACAGAATATATATTTCAGCCCTTTTAAACTTTTCTCTTTTCTACTTTTCTTCCCGAAGTTTTCTAGTCTTCCTCCTCTCCTTTTTTCATACTTATTAGATGTAATTTATACGATATCTAACAACTTTGAATACTTAGGATTAAGTCTCATATTACACTTGAATTATGCTGTAAACTTGTGGTACAACCGATATATATTATAGTATTATATATTAGTAATATATTTATTTTATATGTTCTTTATTATTAACTCAATTGTAAATTTATTAAAAAATAGCTAATCGTGAGTATTTTAAATTTAAATACAATTTTGAATAAAATAAATTAAAAACAACATTAACATTTTTATACTATTATTTAATCACAAATAAATTTCTTAAAATTAAAAATGTTAAAATTAACATACATCATTTTTATTAATATAATATATCAAAATTTCAAATTTAAATTTAAAAGTTAAAAAAATAATATAAATAAAAGATAAATTAAATTTATAATATAGAGATAGATTACAAAGTTATGAATATGATTCATTAAATATAAAATAAAAATCACATCATTTCATAAGTTTTAATAAATTTTTACTAATCATAAAATATATATATATATATATATATATATATATATATATAAATTTCTACCAAATTATGCATTCCTAGCTTAACTGATACTACTATATGTTTAAAAACGATTCAAAGCATTTACCTAATCCGTAGGTTTGTACAGTTGTACTTTTAATTTTGCGACTAAACAAAAAGGAAAATGAAATAACAACAAAATATAATAAATAATAATACAAGATGAAAAAAATAATTAAAAATTCTGACATGACAAAGTTCATAAGGATTGGTTGTTGACCAAGACATGTGCTCCAATTGGCTGGTCACAGAAAGCTTCCATGAACTAATTTAACTTTTTTTTTTTCGAAAAGTTTTACCAAAAGAGCTCTCATTTTACTTAACAAACAAGGTAGACAATCTAGTTAATGTTCAACCTGTCCACACGGAAGAAACAATAAGAAATGGATTTTTTACAGGTTTAGTGTAATTACAATATTTAGTGTATTTTTATTTAAGTGAATTTTTTTAAATAAAAAGTAATTCTAATTTAAGCTAAATAATTCACTTAAAAAAATAAACTGAAAAAGTAATTTTTATTTAAGATAAAATCATTTACAAATTTTTTTTTCTTTCTACGTTACGATATCTTGATTATATTGAAGTGCAATTTATAGAAGATACTTTTAGTTTATTACTCATAATTAGTTTTTTATTTTTTTATTTTTTTAAACAACTCAAATTTTAAACATCCTAATGCATGATTCAACAATTCATATCATTCATTCAATATACTAAGGTTCAATTTAATTATAGTAGAACAAAATTATTATATTTAAATACTAACGTTAAAATTAATAGAAAATAAAAATAATCTAAATATTATTTTTGAGATGCAGCGACATATGAGGTAAGTTTAGATATAAAAAGAAAGAAAAAACATATTTATAAATTTTTTGTTAATTATTTTTTTTAAAAAGAAAAATATTAAGTTTTGTGCCAACTTCAAGACTTTTATTTCCTTTATAAATTTATAAATTTTGTATTAAGCACATGTTAGATAATCAATAATGAAAAACAAAAGTTTCTAATATTTTCTTAATTTAAAGAAAAAATGAAGTTTTAAATACATACATTAAATACACGTTTTTTATTTTTTTTTATATACATACATTAAAAATGCAGATGCGTGGACGACAAAGGCAGAAATCAAGAGAACACAACTTCCGATATTTGAATCACTCAATTTTATTTTTTTATATACATACATTAAAAATATATATGTACATACAAATGTAAAGTGACATTTTAAAATGTTTGCTTTTAATAATACATCTTTTAAAAATAGTCAAGTGTTGCACCTTTTTAATTTGCCCTACAAACTACTATCCTGTTAGAGGATTTAAAGCTTGGGCGTTAGGGTATCATTTTTAAGTACTGTTAACTGTTCACCCATTAACGCCTTTAAGCTTGAAGACTGGAGCATACAGGTAATGAAGGAAAAAGAGGAGTAATTAGCATCATTAGAGCTTAATAGTCATGGCTTAGTTAATCGCTGACACAAATCTAGCTCGCACACCACCATTAATATATCAAAAAATAATCTAAGCATTTGATGAGACAACAAATACACGTTCCATTCCAGAGGTAGAAAGCAATATTGATGAGATAAAGTGGCTTGTAATTATAGTCGTGGCCATGCTAAAAAAAAAAATAGTTGTTAACACTTATATATATTAGCATAATTTATACAACATATGTGGGATGGATTGATTGTTTACATAACATTTTCTAAAAGAGTTGAGATGATGAAATAGCACATCAAAAGAGACAAATCAAACCAGGTGATTTTTTTTTGTCTAAATTAACATGATGATAATTTGAGTTGAGAGGCAGGTCCCCACTCTGTCAAGAGAGCAAGTCAGAATGAAAGTGAAACACAAAAGCAATATCCACAGGGAAACATGTTTCTCCATTTTTCAGATCACTCTTATCATTTATTTTCTCTATTTATTTGTATCTCGGCAGTCACAGCCGTCATCATTAATTATGGGCCTTTCTTTTGTTTCTAATCGATCTATTTTTATTTTTATGTTTTGTCTTCCAAAGGCAATTTGTTTGAGAGACTAAAGTTTTATTATGATTTTTCCCCTCTTAAATAATTTTATCCAGGAAGAAATTAAATATATACCATTATATAATACTTTTTAATTTATTTTAGATCACATATATCTTTCATTAAATATAATTTTACTTAAAATATTATGGGTGATAAAACTTTTCTTTCGAGTATAGTATTTTTATTTTTTGTATATCTTAAAAAAAATCCTTAAAAATATGAAAAGCAAAAGAAAAAAAATGATTTACAGTTTAATATCCGAGAGCAGGAGCTTCATCCTATGATTAACCATTTTGGCAAGAAACTCCGGATAAAAATTTTCAAAAAGATAAAAAAAAAAGGAGTAAACATAATACAAAGGTAATACTTATAGTACTATTATGTTAGCTTCTTCGATAATCTTACAAACTGATTCGCGGTCAAAATTGCTTTAAGAAAAGTGGAGTTATGATTGCTAGAGTGAAGTAACAAAAAGTTAGTATAGTTGAAATAAACTGCTTAGGTGAAACAAAAAAAATTACACTTCGGAGGACATGATTGATATGAATCACCGACGAATCGATTATTTCAATGTATCATGATTTAGAAATTGAAATTGATGTGACGGTAAACATCAAACTAAACAAAATAAAAAATAAAAAATCCCCTCTAATTGTGCAGGGTTAAAAGTTTTACTTAAACAAGTTTCATATTCGACACAAGGGCATAAGCAATCGAGTGAATTAATTAAGGATTTTCAATAAATACTATTTTCTTGCACAATTAAATGCAACATTGACTTTCACACAGTACACAATATTAAAGCATTGTTTAAACCAAAGGATGATTGAGAATAATTGGGATTAGACCCCACGACACTCTCTTGCTCGAAATGGGTACTAGATTAGACCATAAAAGCTAGAACAGGGATAAATAAAAGAATGATGGAAAACTCAAAACTAAGAATGTCCCTGTCCATGATAAAGATGCCGATGCCGGTTCTCCAATTAATTTCATGAAAGAAATTGTATTTGTATAACATGTTTTAATAACTTTTATATAATAAAGTGACAACCTAAAAGATAAGAAAGAAATGTGAAAAAAAAATGATAGGTATGACGAAAAGAGATAAAGAAAAAAAGAGTTCTTGCTACTAAGTGTTCTTATAATAGTTATTAAGTTAATAATGTATTAAAAATTACAGAAAATGCCTATAATTACACTTTCTAATAAAAAAGTATTTTTAAATCCTCAACTTGTAACTTTAAAATATATACTCATTAATATTAACCATAAAACATAATCAATATCTCAAGAGCATTGGTTAAAGAATTAAAAAATACTATTAATATACCTTTTGTCATGATTTTTAATATTTTTAATTTTTGAATCAAAATTTTAAAGATACTAATCAGTAAGACACTAAAAAAACTATATTGTGAGAAATTATATAACTCTTGATTAACTTGTGTTATGAATATATATATATATAGCCTGTTTTCCACATGTCAATTAATTAGATCAGATCAGGCAAGTTAACAAGGGGAGGCAAGAGATAGGGTAGGTGGACCAACAAATAATATGGTATGATTGGGTATTTGATTATAAAAGTAGGATTATGATGATGAAGATTATGGAGCGTTGAAGTTGGCAATGATGGGCATGAAGAGATAATTCAAGTGGAATGGTGTTGGAGATAAGGTCTCTGATGTGTTCCGGGCTTTAAGGCCACTCAACCAATGAGAATTTCTATTTGTGCTCTTTGTTTGGCCTTTCCACATCCTCATTCTTCTCTTTTCTTCCTTACGAACCGTCCATGTCAACACTTGTGTCTGCATTTTGAAT